TCCTGTGGGTTGTCTTTTTATTCTCTTGATGGTGTCCTTCGAAGCACACAGGTTTTCATTTTGATGAAGTTCAGGTCATCTCTTTTTTCGTTGTTACTTGTGCTGCTGGTATTATATTGAAGAAGTCATTTACTAGCCCAGAGTCACAAAGATTTACTCCTGTTTTTTCTTCAAAGAATTTTTGTACTTTTGGCTCTTAGAGTGAGGTCACAAAGCATTTGGAGTTAATTTTTGTATATGGTGTGAGGTGGGAGTCCAGCCTCATTCTTCTGCATGTGGATAACTAATTGTCCAGCATCATGTGTTGAGAGGACTATTCCTTCCCCATTGAATTGCCTTGGCACCATTGTTGAAAATCAATTGACCATAAAATAGAGGGGTTATTCGAGGTATTACTCATCTGATTAAAATTTAAAAAGAAATTAAAGTAAATGGAATGTTTCCACGTTTCCAATTTGGGGTCATGTGCCCTATGGTGTTGGTGTTTCCTACATCATTGTGTCTAGAGGTAAAACCGTGGGCTGGCTTGTTAGGGGCCACAGAATGTACGGCCACGCAGAGCTCTCTCCTGTGGACCTGGCTGAGGAAACAGGCCCAGGAAGGTGGAGTGATTAGTCCAAGGGGCCTGTTGCTCTTTGTGGGCAAGATACGGAGAACTGGAGACTTCAGAGACGCAGCTTTAAAGTAGAGAGCTCTCAGCGTAGCCTCGTTGGATCAAACTGGGCCGTTTTTCTAGTTGCTGTTTCAAGTGAATCATTTACTAAAGGCCATGACCAGTATTATCTAGATGAAGCTATTGATTTTGGCATATAAAGGTTATATTTAAAATCCTCTTTAATAGCCCAGGTTAAATGAAACAAAACAGAATCATGTATTGATTTTTTTTAAATACTAGTTTTCTTTATTAATTTGATCATTTTTTTTAAAGCCTATATTTTAATGCCTCTTGCTTGTTCCCTTTATTTTCTGGATAGAAATATAGCTGAAGGGAAGGTCCTTCTTAATGAAACTGCCGAGCTGAGCCGGAATAGGCTTCACCTTTGCCATCTAGTGCATCTTGCTTTATTATTACATGGGATTATTTAATCCAAAGCAATGGGAAGCGAGCCCTGAGTTGTGACCCCCAATTAAAGAGTCTCAGCGCTCACTGCTTGCCCTGACAAATACAAAGTTGCGGTGTGCTCTGGCCCTGCTGCCTGCTGTTAGAGAGAGCGAGAGTGGGGCGTGCATGTTGTATCTGCTCCATCTGCAAGTGTTGTAATAAGTTATTCAAAGCTCTTAGCACAGGACCAACCAGAGCGTGCCTCCCTCTCCTTTCCAGCACGTTTTCCTGCCCATCAGATGGATGCTCCTCTGTTGGAGGCTTTGGAAGGTTCTGGTGTCTTTTGTTTTAATTGGCGGGCTAGAGCCGACTCCTATGGTGCGATTTTCATTAGAGAGAGGGAGTGCTGGAACAGCCCTCCAAATCCAACCATGAATATTAAACATAATACAATTACAGCTTTCGGACCAATTATTTTTCTTTTCAGCAGGCAAAGTTGATGAAATATGTGCTAGATAGGGACTCAGTACCTACCATTGGCTTCTTTTTGTCCCTGGAATCGGCCGTGTTGGCATATACTTGTGCCCGTTTGCTGTGCTACCTGTTCCCAGCGCCGAGTATTTGATTTGAGTGCTGAGGACACGGGTTTTGCCAAGGTGGGCTGCTGTTCGGGTTGGTGCCGCGCACCGTCAGCTGTTCGAGGCAGACACCGGGCCTGCATGTGAATCTGAGCGGCTTGTGTGGACCTCGCACGCTGCGGTGCGTGCTGTTTCTATCTGGCGACAAGAGGCCAGAGTGATGCTCTCCAAGGAGATGTCATGTAAATGCTTTTCCTTTTCCCTGTGGGGAGAAGTGAAGTCTGTTTTGGCCCGCTTTTGTCTCCTTGGTGATACAAAATACGCAAGTGCTGTATCTTTTGGTATATTTGTTTGTTTTGTTTGGAGCCATCCGTGCTGGTATCTAAATACAATAGGAAAACAGATGGCAAACTTTGAACTTCTGGACCAAATTCATGTTTGCCTTTGTCTCCTTAACAGCCAAACTGTAAATTACAGAGCATAAATATTCAACAGAGGGGCTCTTTATGAAAATCACCACGGCTAAGTAGGCCCTTATTAACCAGATATGTGCTGAAAAGTGTTTGGGCTAAATGTTTGCTTTCCCGTCCCTTTCAGGTCCCCATTAGCAAGCCGTTCGGCTGTGGTTGCTACAGGCAAAGCTCCTAGGGTGCTGACACCTTCCTGCCCTTTCTCACCACCAGGGCCTTGATGGCGCCTCTAAGGGCTGGAGGGGAGACCTTCGTTTTCCAGCACATTGCATGTTCTCCTGCATCCCAGCAGGCCCAGCTCCCTACTAGGAAGTGGGGGATTGAATGGCTGCTGGAGTAACAGGGGTCACCATAATATGTGTCACCTACTTAGTTGCATGTCCTACCCAGGAAGAATTCATGCATCTCCTCTGTGCTCTGAGGCGACATCTATATTTGAAGCAGAGTAGGTATGCACATGGGAGGGTGAGGGATGTGTACAGTTTAGATAACGAATGCCTGTGCACGCCCCACCCAGCTTAAACAGCGTGGCTGTACCTCACGGTGCCCGTTCCAGTCACAAATGAGTTCTTGTTTCTTAAAACAACATGGCAGTGTCTAGAAGAAAAAAGTAAAAGCCGCCTTTCCCCCCTTATTCTTAGTTGCCACTCTTCCCCCAGGTAACTGCTACCGATTTGAATATGTCCTTCCAGGATTTTCTTTAAATTTTTTCAATTTTACTTAAACAGGTAACCTGTACATTCAAACTTGATTAAAGAGCACAGAGGCACCCGGCCAGCATGGCTCAATGGTTGAGCGTCAACCTATGAACCAGGAGGTCACGTTTTGATTCCTGGTCAGGGCACATGCCCAGGTTGTGGGCTCGATCCCCAGTGTGGGGTGTGCAGGAGGCAGCTGACCAGTGATTTTCTCTCGTCATTGGTGTTTCTATCTCTCCCTCTCCCTTCCTCTCTGAAATTAATAGAAATATACATTTTTTTAAAAGCACAGAGGCATTAATAGGAAGCATTCGGTCTTCTGGGAACAGTGAGCCTTTTCTAAGGAGCGACTGCACGTGCACAGCATACACCCTCCACCTGTCACACGCAGGCCGTGGTTGGACGTAGAGCCGTGTTTTGGTGACAGCTGCCTGTCAGTGTTCCTAGGTCTGTCTCACTCTCCAGTGGCTGCACAGGCTCCACTGTCCGCATGCACCGTGATTGCTTTAGCTCACACTCCATCGAGGGAGCGAGTTGTGCCATCCAAATGCATGAGGACTTAAATGTTGTTTCTAGTTTTCCCATCGCTCTAATGGTCATTCCTTAGTAGGGAATGCCTTTTTTCCTTAGGTTGCTTTCAAGACCTCTTTTAGACTTTTGCATATTCCCACTTTATGATATGATACTCTTAGGTGGTATTTCTGTTTATTTTGATTACGGCTCATGAAGTATGAGTATGCATCACTGTCATTGATTCGGGAAACATATTGGCCATTAACTACTTGAATATTGCTTCTTTGCCACACACACACTCTATTTTTTCCTTCTGGAACTTCGTTCCAACACATGCTGAACCGTTCCTTCTATTCTTCCTGTCTCTTAACCCCTCATTCACATTGTTCACCTGTTTAATTTCTGTTCTGCATTCTAGGTAATTTTTCAGATGTATCCTCTAATTCATAAACTCTTCCAGCCTGTTAATTCCAGGGACTATATTTTCATTTGTAGAAGGTTACTTTGGCATTTTTATAAAGCAGGAATCTCAATACTCCCACCCCCTCCCCCTCTGGGTGGGCCTGTGTCCAGGTAAGATCCAGACCCATTGGCTCCTGAGATTGGCACCTGCCAGCAGCCTCACCCACCACACATGCTCACAGGAGCCTGGCACTGCAGCTCCAGCTCTCCAGGCTGGTTCTCAGCTCGAGCCCTGGGGAAGTCGCTGGTTTTGTGAGCTCAGTAGAGCATTTAAAAGGATATCCAGCAGCATTAAGGGATTTTCAATGAGTGGGTCAACAAGTTGCCTGAAACAGAAGCCCCATCTTTTGCTACTAAAAAGAGTGCTGTGGCCAGTGGCCTTGTATGCCTGTATGTGTGTGCATTTGTACCCATGCGATATATCCTGAATTCTTAGAAGCAGAACTGCTAGGTCAGTAGTATATTTTTTATTTTGTTGGATATTACCAACTCACTCCCCAAAGAGGGATTTATGCTCACATCAGCCACACCTAAGTACCTGCCTTCAGGTCTCACAGCAGAGAGGCTCAGAGCGTTCTGCCAAACTTTATCTTTGCTGGGTGATAGGGGACAAGTGGTGTATTGCATTAGTTTTACTTCCTAATTTCTCTCATCGCCAGTGAACTAGAACATGTCACACATGTTTAAAAACCATTAGTATTTCCTTTTCTGTGAATGGTTTTCTTTTCTCTCCTGTTACTTTTGGGTTGTCAATCTTTAGTATCAATTTGAAGGCCTTTGCCAGCCCTCTCTGTTACCAACCGTTTCCCCACTTGATCATTTTGCCTTATGATTTTTCCCCCATGTGAGAAAAACTTAAATACTTTATATACAGTTATCAATATTTTTCTTTTTGACTTCCAGGTTTTTTATATTTAGAAAGGCCTTTCCTATTCTGACTATTTAGAGTTTAATTATGTTGACTCTTGAGCCTTCTATAATTTATTTCGGTATAATGTATATGGTAGAACTCTAAAATAAAGTTATAGGGTATTTTGCCTTTAATTGCTATTATAAGTGGGGTCTTACATTTTTAAAGCTAGTGGTTGTTGGTACATAAGATACAGCTGTTGATTTTGACATTAATTTGCATTTGATTCTCACCTCATTTTTACTGGATTACTGGATTCCCACCTTATTTTCTTTTATTTAATTATATCCATTTTTAAAAAACAATGTGACATATCAGTGGTAAAAGTATAGGTCACTATTTTTTAAAGACTTTTTATTAGGAATAAATATTATATTTCATCAGATTTCGTTTCAGCATCCATGGGAGTGACCATGTGTTTTTTCTTGTTTGTTACAATAGTAGGTGAATTGTGCTCACAGGAGCTGGGTGGATTCCGCTTGTTGGCAGTGTATTGCTGTGGATTCTGTTAGTTAATATTTCATTCAGGTCTTAGCCTTGGTGCCGATCGATTGCTGCCTTCCCGCGTGCTCTCCTCGTTGGTTTCTTGGAAGAGCGTGCTGGCTCTATGGAGGTTTGGAAGCTTCCTCTGCTCCTGCGGGCAGTGCCGCAGCCCAGGGGGCTCCTCCCAGGCAGGCCAGGTGCTCTGGTTCTTTGTGCGGGGACAGCTGCCCCAGTGTACTCTTTGTTACTTCTGCTGGGATTGTCTGCCCCGGGGGTCTTTCTTGGAAAGTCATGTATTCATCTGTATCTTCAAATTTGGAGATTTAAACAATTAAATAGAAAACCTGAACAGATTATAATGACCAAAGAAACCAAATTAAAAAATTAGGTCCATGTAGGTTTTCTGCGTTTTTTTCCAAGCAGGTTTTACTGAACATTTAGTGAATTGTACCCTTCATCATTCTAAAGTACTCTCATCTCATCTTTGTGCTCTGAAATCCCTTTTCTGGTGTTAAAATTGCTACCTCTTCCTTGCACCTGCAAACATGGCATGTGTGTGTAGCATATATTGAATTTTGCTTTGTGACCCGTTTGAACTCTTCTAGGTGGGTTTGCTCTGTGTGTATCTGCTGCCCGGCAGACATGTTCGGTCTTAAATGCTACGCTCAGTGTTTGTTCTGTGCGTCACTGCGTGGTCTGTGTGTTGGCTCCTCACAGTCCTCCGGGATTTTGCTGCAGCACTTTCTTTCAGAATAGCTACAGGTTGCTCACTCTGAGTCATTTTCTGTTAAAAGAAAAAACAACAGCCTTTTAATTTTGCCTTCAAATTTGGTAGGTAAGCTAGGTATAGAATTTTCGGTTCAAAATAATAGATTTGTGTGTGCATTCTCATAACCGAAAGTGTAGGACATGTCTCAGGTCATCCCCTTCTCATCACAGTTTTGGTGTCAAACACATGCTTTGGTCACGTTGGCCATACTAGCATTCTGTTTGCCCAGCGCCCCCACTAGGTGAGTTACAGCATGGGGTCTCTTGTACACACATTTTGTCTCATTCAGTGGTAGCTCTTGTGGCTGATTTCAGAAGCTAAGTATGTTGGGGTTTCTAGTGGATAAGAGATTTCTGTCTCTATATAATTTATCCTGATGTGGAAGGTCACATACTTGTATAAAAAGTAGTTTCTTTAAGAATTCAGATGATTGGCCGGTGTGGCTCAGTTGGCTGAGCGTTGTCCTGTACACTGAAAGGTGGTGGGTTCAATTCCTGGTTGAAGCGAGTACGGGAGGCAACTGATCCATGTTTCTCTCTCTCTAAAATCAATAAAAAGCATATCCTCAGGTGAGGAGCAGGGAGAAATGCAGATGATGACAAGGCAAGTGATTCTTCCCAGACTTTAGATAAGAGTATGTGGGCACTGGGCAGTCACTTCTCACGATTCTGTTACACTTGCTCAACTGTAGGTGTTCCCTTCCCACATTTCAGCAAGATGGTGATGGACAGAGTTGAGTAAAATGTTATTTTTCCTCAACCAGGTAAGGGTTTGGGTGGCAGACAAGCGTAACTGATTTGCCCTTAACAGAATATTATACCACAAGCAAAGTTTCCGTGCTGAGAGTTAAACTTACCCTTAGGGCAGCCGATGCCCATGTGGAGGCACAGTCAGAGTTCACCTTCCTCTGTGGACGGGCACCCAGGGCAGGCGTCTCCCTGTTGAGCAGATAGAATGAGTGACAGGCACCTACTGGATGGGTCCCGAGTCTCTCTTGTTCTGGGTGCTCTTAAATCCTCCCAGCTAAGCAGTTGTAGGCTCTTCACTCGTTCATGCCTTGCGTCTGGGCCTCCTCTGTGTACCAAGGAGATAACATTTTCTAGCGTGTTTAGATCTCTGCAAGCACAGGGGTTTTATGGTCTCTGTCTTCATAGGACTGTTGTGCCTAGACCCCAGCACAACCCAGGAGGGTTTGTCATTTCAGGCTTTCACTCTAACCTCTGCTCATCTTGGCAGGGTGAGGATCCATGACCTCCGCACCAACAAGATCGCTCTGTCGCTCTCTGCACACCAGCTTGGCGTCTCCGCCGTGCAGATGGACGACTGGAAAGTTGTCAGCGGAGGCGAGGAGGGCCTGGTCTCCGTGTGGGACTATCGGATGAACCAGAAGCTGTGGGAGGTGCATTCCAGGTGAGGCTGCTTCTCGGCACCTCTAGTGCTAACAGTAATGACGACACTAGTTCAACCTCTGAGCCAGGCGTTGTGCTCAGTGCCATCTGGGGCTTACAGTCCTCACCGTAACCCCGAGAGCCAGCTGCTGTGATCTCCATTTTCAGATGAGGAAACTCAGGCTGAGGAATGGAGCCGGTCACGGTCAGTAGAGAGGCATTTCCTCTCTCCCATTGTGAAAACTGCCTCATTCATTCCCACCTTCCTCCACTCAGAGTCTCAGCAGCAGGATGTGATGACCTGCCCATTCCTTGGACTTCCTTCCATGGTGTAGAAGGGCACTTAGGACTGGATGGATTCAGGCTTGAACTAGGAGGAATGTACAGTCTCAACCTTTAACTCGAATATTCAAGTTAAATAGGCACAGGCTGAAGGCTTCACAGGTGTAGGTATGTTTGTAGAGTGGAGCCTAACTGGTTAAACATTTACAGCAAGCATGTCAAACTCACGCCGACCTTTAACTCGAATATTCAAGTTAAATAGGCACAGGCCGAAGGCTTCACAGGTGTAGGTATGTTTACATGAGTGGAGCCTAACTGGTTAAACACTTTACAGCAAGCATGTCAAACTCACGCCGGTGGGCCGCATGCCTCGTTTATTTGGCCTGTGTTAGCCTTTGAGTTTGACATGCTTGCTCACCCCCATCCACTCTGCTTCTGAGGCAGGTGGGAGGAAAGGCCACAGCCTGCAATTGTGAGCTGAGCTTTGTTCCTCCTCTAGTGCAAATCATGATAAACTAGGCCCACGCGAAGGCAGCACCGTCTTCATTCTAAGTACAAGAAGGGCCAGGTTAAAAGAAGAACGTGGTTTCTTCCTTGGAAGGCAGTGCTAACGAGTGCCTCAGCAGCTTTTACAGACTAGAGCCCTGGGTGATGTGCAGGGCCCGCAGTGTACCAGGCAAGCCCTCCCATAGGCCCTTTTCTGACTTCTGTGCTGATGCACTGAGTTGCCACCAGGTGGTGCCAAAAGGCAACTAACACTCCCACCCACTGGAATCCCTTTAAAGAATCTAGAACTGACTCCACCCGGCTCCAGCGGTGCCTCCCCTGCGTGCAGCTCACTAGGCCTGCACTCCAGGTCTCGTTCTCTCTCCGAGAAGCTGATGCCCTCGGGTGAGCCTGCTGGTGAAGCCGGGTCTTCCCAGCACTGTGGTGCTGACTCATCTGTAAATGCACATCCAGCTCGACCACCAGTTAGTGGCTTGTCCCTCACCAGGTCACTGTTAGCTGGCGCCTCACTGCAGTCGCCTGCCACTGCTGCTGTGATGCTCTTCTGAGCTCTGTCCAGCTGGCGCTCGGGCAGGTGCCGGTCTCCTTGAGTCCTGCTCACACCTGTCCTTTCTCTCCATTCCTCCTGCCTCCCTGGGCTCAGACTCCCTTTATGCACGAGAGAATCCCCCTCTCCTGTGCCTTCTGAGCGGGCCTGTCAGCCGTGGTCTCTCCCCTGAGTGCTGGACCCTGGGCCCATCTGTGTGCCCTGTACCATTTCCTGCTCGAGGAGCCTGTAACCCTGCTTCTGCCTCCGCCCCCCGGTATGTCTTACCTTGACCAGGCGGGCATCTCTGACGGCAGGTCTCCGCTTGCACTGGGTGTCCTGGCTCAGTGCTGTGACCATAGTAGCAATGAAAAGGTTTTAGAATGAACAAAACTTTGTACATAGATTTCAAGCCATTTCATTCCAAGATTTTCTGAATGTGCGTTTACAACCCAGACTACCTGTGTCACGTGGAGCCCCCTGACTAGGACTACGGGCCTTACGGTCTGTGCCTGCAGATGGACCTGGCTCGGAGCTGGAGTGACTTGTCCCACACCAGCCAGCCTGGGTGTTCTCGCCTGCGTGCTGCTGAGTTTGTCCTTTACGTCCAAAACACGCCCCGTTGTTGGGGGCATTCAGACTTGTTTACAGAGTGGATCTGGCTCTAACTGTGGGAACGAAGGCGAGACATCGCCCGGGGGGGTGTCCTCCGTCAAAGAAACGCCTGGTTAGGGGTCCTAGGGCCCTGTAGTGCTCAGCTTCTAGACTGGCAGCACATGCAGGACGTGCTCCGTTTGCAGCGAACTTACCTTCAGCAGCGTGCTCTCCCCTTGTGTTCCAGGCACCCCGTCCGCCACCTCGCCTTCACCAGCCACAGCCTCATCACGGCCAACGTGCCCTACGACCGGGTGGTGCGCAGTGCCGACCTGGACAACTTCGCCACGCACAGGAGGTCAGTGGGCTCGCCTGCTGTGGTCTGGATGTGCAGAAAAGACAGTTATGTTTGATCTTAGAATAGGACCCCCCATGTCACACTACTCCCTACGGGATGTACCCTCAGGCACAGGCAGCTAGAGAGGCAATAGGGTGAGTGATATTAGCAAATAATGTGCTGCCTGCCGTGTTCAGTGTTTTCCCCACAATGTCTCACTGCTTCTGCAGGGTGGCTGCATGGGTGGGACACAGAGAGGCCAAGACAAAGGGCTTAGGGACCTGCAGTGGTTAGAGTCCTAGTCACGGCTTCTGAGTTAAGTCCCCCTGCGGGTCGGCTGGGTGACTCAGCTGCCACACAAGGGAGACCCCTCCCTCCATGCACGAGGCACAAGGCTCGGGTGCTTCTTACTGGCCTGAGCAGCCTGTGAGGCCGGGGGCCTCTCCTCGTGGCACTGACCCATTCACCTCTGGTCCTGGGATCCTGTGTCCGCTCACTGTGGGCCCCAAGGGCAGATCTGTAGGACGGCCCTCTCTGTGCTCCCTCTAGACACCGGGGGCTGGTCCACGCCTACGAGTTCGCCGTGGACCGGCTGGCCTTGCAGAGTGCTCTTCCCGCCTGCCGCTCGTCCTGCGACACCACGGCGGGTAACAGCTATGACCTCGCGCTCGCCTTCCCCTACGACAGTACTTAGGGGACAGTGAGAAATGGAAAGAACGACAGGACCTCTGCTCCGGGTTTCAAAGGTTTGGGGGAAGAAAGCAACCCCGGGGTACTTGTGTGACGCACCTTCCTGAACTGCCTGCGCTTTCCCCTCTGTCCGTTTTCCTCCCGCAACTGCACAGCTGGGGCTTGTCAGGCTTTTTTCCCCTCACTGGTCCCTCTCTCCTGGCTTTGAGAACCACACACTGATGACTCACATGTATACCGCCTTCCCCACATCCTCCTCCTCCTCCAGCCCGCCCGCCCGCCTCGGGGGGACACCCCCAGCGGTTCCCGTCTCTCCTGGACGCTGCAGCTCCACTAAGGCCCGGGCTTATCACTGTGAACAAGGCTCTTCTGGGCCCTGCTCCCACCTGCCCAGCCTCCAGCCCTGCCCCCTGTGGCTGTGCCTGGATGAGATCGGGTGTTCACGCACGTGGGCTTCTCCGACACCATGTCACCAGTGCAAACCTGGGTTAGCAGTATTTTTCCACAGAGCTTTTATAATTATATATTTATACCATTATTCCACTAAAGACTATTTTGCTTATTATTGCGTCTACAACATGTGATACAAAGCAGATATTTTCTACATAATCACTGAATAAACAGCCATCCTCCAAGTGGGATGGACGGTGATTCTACACGGGAGGAACCGTCATGTCAACCACCAAGATAAAGCCAAGGCGAGAGAACTGTTCCGTTTGATAAACAGCTTCCACTTGCAAAGGATTAAGTGGCAAACCACTGCCTTACCCTTGGTTTACAGTGTTGGCAGCAGCCACCTGCTAGACCTTCAAAATGTCACAGTAACACGGACAGAACTAAGAGAAGCAAGACCCATATTCTAGTGAGTTAGCAACCGATCACAGCAGCAAAAACACGGAAGCACGAGGATGTACTTAGTCTAATATACAAGTTGACCCAATAGATACATAAGGAATTTTGTACCTCTCCAAATACCCACAGACCATGCACAGATCGATATCAGACAGGCCTTCCTCAGTGACCCTGAATCCTAATGCCGTAACACTGAAAACCAACAGAAAGCTAAATAACAAAAACACCTGCAAATTCCAAACACTCTGACTCGGTTTTGAAAAAGGAAATCAAAGCGGACCTGAGCGACCCCGAAAGCACAGTATCCAGCCAGGAGAGGCTCCCCCGCACGCTCAGACCAGCAGGGGTGGCCACGGCCGTGGAGCTCGCACACCAGCGTGTCAAATGGCCCAGCCCTGCGGGCCGTCACTCAGTCCCAGCACCTTTGATCGTGAAGGTTCCGATTACAGATGGTCAGTAAAACCCCACGTCCAGCAGGAGGCCAGGGGAGCCGTGACCGGGAGCTGTCCCTTCTCCGCCCAGCCTGCCCTCCTGGAGGCGCACTGTCGGGACGGCTCTGCCTCCTTCAGCCCCACGACGTCAGGAGGGAAGCGGCTGCAGTTAGTAAAGGAGGGGTTTCCTCACTGTCACTCGGGTTCCGACCCCGTTTCTGGAAGCTGTTCCTCTCAGTCTTAATGCCACTGGGTAACATTTTTCCTTTGAAGAAACAGTTCTGCCCAGTCTGATCTCCCAGTTCATGCTTCCATACTAGCTTTGCAGCAATTTTACATAATTGAACAGTTTAAAGAAATCAGACCCAGACAATTACACCAAAATTAAAAATAGTTTTAAACTATTGTTATCCACTGCAACAGCTGGTCCAGTGTAAAATGTTACAAGCACAGGTTCTCCCCCCACCCCCACCCCGTATCTAACTTACCTCCCATTCCTGAAAACTGAGTTTTGCAAAGAAGAGTGTCACCCAAACCATCATCTCCAAGCACACCCACCTCAGTGTTTTCCGCCATAAACTTGACATCCCGGAGACACGGCCGGGTGGGGAAAGGGTCAGGGTCCCTTTATAAACCACCATTTGCCCAGCAGCAGAGAAAGGCAGTATTTTTCCACAGAGCAGATCTGTAGGACAGCCCTCTGCTCACCCCTTGGGCTGTTCCTCCCCATGGGCTCCTTTCAGGGAGCTGCTCCCACGTTCTGAGCCGGTTGCGGATCTAACCTCTGCTTCCCAAGCTCTTCCCCGGTGTCACCCTGCAGACAGAAGGGAGTTGGATGTGCTGCGGGGACCAAGGGCCAGACTCCAGGCTCTTGTGTCCTGTCTCAAAACGTTGTATGACTTTTGCTTTCTACTTCATTACTATGTTTGTGTTGGTTCTAATATTAAATTTCTAAAATGTTTTTATTGCTCAGTTGATTTGCCACCCCCTGGCATGGCGCACAATGACAGTCCCCTGGCCACCACTCTCCCCCAGCCCCAACATCTCACCTTGCTGGATGGCCTGGTTCTGCCGCCCATGATCGAGTCATTATCTCAGAACCACCACTACAGGGTTCTGAGCCCAGGTGCCAGGGAACCCACAAAACTACCAGTGAAATTGTGCACCAGGCGCATCTCTGCCACTAGAGGGTGCTGCTGGTGCCCGGACAGTAGTTCATGGTTGGAAGACCCCTGGTTCACTGGGTCTCAGCTGTTCGGAGGAAACGTCTCCCGACGCGGGGGTTGGGGCCTTTCTGAGAGGGAAAGCGACAACCCCAAGATGAAGTCTTCCTCCCCACCCCCACCCTGAGGATCCTGCTTCCTGCTCTGCAGTTGAATGGCAGACCCTGGCCCTGCAACTCTGTCCATTTTACAGAGAAACGGCTTCCCCAGAGCCGGTGGCCACCAGCGCAGCCGGGCCGAGACAGCGGCTCAGGCCGGAGCTGCCTCCTCCTCCTCCTCCCTGACTTGGGGCCTTTGCTTTGGGCAGCAGCTGTGGCGGCCCTGAGCTTACAGAGCTGGCTGCCCGGCCACCGCGCTGTGAGCCTCACAGACCTGCCCGCCTCACCCCCTCGGCCAGGCCAGATGGTCACCTGGCGGCGGTGCAGGGGCCTGCGGCGACTTGGACGGGTGCCTCTGCTGTGCGGTGGCAGACTCCCTCTGGCCGGGCTGCCGCGGGTGCCATGTGGCGCCGGCTCGCTTTCAGCCTCCGGTGTCAAGCGAGGGTTTCCAGCAGCAGGCTTCCGATGGCCCGGCACCGGGGCTTCTCTTTCCCTGGGGAGGGAGGGAAACGGTGCCCCACCCGGAACTGAGCTGTCCTGCTGCAGCTCCTCTTCCTCCCACTGCTGGGACAGATGCTGCCTTCACTGCTCTAAGGTGGGGGTGGCTGCAAACTGCTGCTCAGCACATCCCAAGACCTTACTGCTGCCCCTGAACTACGTGGGTGCAGACCAGACCTAGTCTGTGCCCACGAGGTCACCAGCGGGTCAGAGGGCCCGGCAGCCATGGGTGCTGCCATCAGTTTTCCCTTGGGGCCACGCTCACGCACCCATCACAGACCCCTGCTGGCGTGCTCACAATTCCTAGAGACAAAGGCGACCCTAATGCCCTGGGAAGTGTGCTTAAAACTCTGGCCCCTCCCACTCCGTTCCCCAAGGCCTCCCCAAGGTCACTGTGGGACGACAGCTTGCAAAGCAGGTGTTTGCAGAACCCCTGCCAACGCGACTTGTATTTTTAACTCTGCAGCAGCCTGCGTAAACCACCGTGCATTCACAGCACAGCGCAGCCTCCTTGCCGTGCAGCCAGGAGGGACAGGTTCAGCTCTCAGTGACAGGGTCGGGCCCTACGGGACCCGACTCCCATTAGCGAAGCACAGAGAGAACTTTCCAGTCCCTTGGACCATAAGATAATGGAATTGTTTTGTTAAAGTCCAGCAATAACTCGTTCCCTGAGAGGGTGCTCGGCCAAACTTGGAAGCTGCTGTAAGCTTACTCTGTTTCCTTATCCATAATTCATGTCTAACGTGGCTGCGAAATGTCTCCCCCAGGCCTCTCCTATTAGATTTCCATTACACAGCCCTTTTGTAACCCTACCAAATTGCTGTTGTGTCAAATTGCCGTATTCGTCCAAAAGCCGAGTTCTGGTAACTCTTTCCCCTTGGCGATGTGGCAGTGTAGGATGAGATCCCACTTTCCACCTGAATCCTGGGTAAGTGGCCTCACCCGCCACCTGGGCACCAGCCCTGCCCGTCTCTCCCTCTGTAGCCTGAGGCCCTCAAAGCCCTGACTTAGCAGCTTCCTTCAAATATTTGGCTTTGCATTGATTTCTGCCTACTTCCTCTTAGTCACTGCAGTTCCTGATAGAAGGAGGGCTAACCAATGCATCTACTTGACTTATCACCTGCCTGTGTTAGAATCAGTTTCAGAACAAACGTCACCTGCTTCGATGAGGTGGCCCGGCCAGGGGGCTGCTGCACTCGCTCTGGGTCTGTGCAGCCAGCTGGCCCCTCCTGGGCACACCCGCTCGTCCCGCAGGTAAGAGGAGCCGTTTCCAGGCCACTGACCACTCCACACTGCCAGGTGGCACCTCGAGACCTGTGCCCAGAGCAGCAATCCTCACCTTGTTCATCAAAGGCCAACAGCCCCACTAGACGGTGGAGAAGTAGCCTACCCTTTTGGGAGGTTTGTACCAACTAAGTCAGCCCTGGTCACCCCCGCAACCAACCAAATGGGCAAAGGCCCAGGCTCACAGACAGCACCCGGGGGCCAGGCGGGAGCGCCGGGTGGGCTGGGCAGCACAGGCTCACAGACAGCACCCATCAGCTTCCTTCTGAGCAGCATGGCCTGTGCTCCTGGTGAGTAAGTCTCACTCTAATGAGCCGTTTTAGGTGAGCAGTGGCCCGAAGCTTCAGACATCAAGCCTGTCCCTGTGTGGTCTGCAAGTGAAAGCGTTTGATGCCTGCCCACATCCCAAACTCCAGCTCAGGACTTGGGGCCGGTGGAAGATGCATTATTTATAAAAACACTTTACATTAATGAGCTGCCTTTGTTGAAAAGAACAAAACGGAAGCAAACTGGGAGCGTCCAGCAGATCCAGGCCTGCTGTAGCCCTGCCAGGGCCCTGCCGCTCTGACCCTGGGGTTCCTCTCACTGGGCATGAGGAGGGTACCACGCCTCCGCACGGCTGCGGGGTGCATTGGAGGCACTTCCTGGGCCAGATCCCCCACACCAGGCTGTCCAGTGACCCCAGAACCCTTCTGTCGGCCAGAAAACCCAAGGGTGTGAGCTAAATACCCCCAACAGCAAGGGAAGCAGGAGGAGGCCCCATCCCAGCCCCACCCCGGGAAACGGCCTGGCTGTCTTCCTAGTTCTTAGTTGGTCTTTCCCATCAGATGTGGCCCCTGAAGGGCAGGAAGCAGAGGCCTTCGCCCTGATCTTCCGCTCTAGATGCTTAAACGCTTGTTGAATTACGTGCTAGTCTAGGATGCAGAGCTCTGGGCAGGACTTCAGACTGTCCTCGTCACTTACCCTGAGGTTGGACGGCAACCTGACCATCCACCTGCAGCACGGGGTGTGGGGGCCGCGGGTCCCAGGCCAGCGTCCTCAGGCACAGCTGGGCTCCGAGGCCCGGCCCCGTCCTGCCAAGCGCTTTCTGACAACAGGACGCAGGCAGGAGCCTCAGTCAGCCGCGTCTGCCACCCTCGGACTCCTGCCGTCCACACTGCCCCGCTTCTCTCCAACTCACCTTGCTGCTCTGTGCTGGTTTTTAAATTTAAATGCCAGACATTGACTTCATCCTAGACAACGCATCTGCCTCTGTGTGCCGGAAGCAGATAGGGGTTAAGGTGAGGCCCTGGGAAGGGAAAGTTGGGCCAGACAAGAACAGGTTAGAGACCCACGTGCACCCGGCTGTCCCTTTCCCAGTCCGAACCCCAGTGCGTGGGTGACAGAAGTCCCGTAACGCACTTATGTCCAAACCATGTCAAAACTATGAATTGAAAATTCAAGAATGCAGCCCAGCCGTGGTGGCTCATGAGGAACTGTATTTAAAGGGCCAGAAGGTTGAGAACCACTGTCTAAGGCAGTGATGGCGAACCTATGACACGCTTGTCAGAGGTGACACGCGAACTCATTTTTTTTGGTTGATTTTTCTTTGTTAAATGGCATTTAAATATATAAAATAAATATCAAAAATATAAGTCTTTGTTTTACTATGGTTGCAAATATCAAAAAATTTCTATATGTGACACGGCACCAGAGTTAAGTTAGGGTTTTTCAAAATGCTGACACGCCGAGCTCAAAAGGTTCGCCATCACTGAACTAGGAAGTCACAGTTTGATTCCAGGTCAGGGCATATACCCGGGTTGCAGGCTTGATCCTCGATCATGCAGGAGGCAGCCCATCAATGGTTCTCTCTCATCACTGATGTTTCTATCTCTCCTCCCTTCCTCTCTGAAATCAATAAAGACATATTTTTTAAAAATTAGAGAAGGCAAGTAACAGCTGTTGACAGTTTGCAGGAGAACTTTAAGGTGGAAACAGCGCCGCCCGGCGAGTGTCAGTAAAGGAGCCGAGCGTCTCCTTAATGTGATGCCGGGAGGACGCCTGGAGTGCAAACAGCAACGGCTCCCACCACCCGGCGCTGTGCCCAGGGCGTCAGTACTGCCGAGTGAGGCGCAGGGCATCTCGGCTCCCCAAGTTTGACTCACAGGCCACGGCCCCACCTGCGATGCACACCCGTGCTTCCTCACCCCGCCCACAGCCCATCCCGATCAGGTGAGCGTTGGGAGGTGCTTACCTGGGGCGGTCACCTCCCCCCGCGGTGCCAGGTCTACATCGCTGCCACGGACGCTGGGGACCAAGTGCTGGGCCCTGCCGCTGCCCCATCCTGCCAGGAGGGGCCACAGCACCCCAGCCTGAGCCCTGGCATCGGTGCCCAGCACCACGAGGCCAGCTCGGGCCCCTGCAGCCACACAGGCTCCAAACGTGCGGCCACAACGCTGAGGAAGCCCACAGCCAAGTCCCCAGTCCCGGGAGCAAGGAGCTGCCTCCTGACTTAATTCCCAGCACTTCTGCAGGGAAAACAGCAGACACGTTACCAAAACGAACCCAACAAGGAGAAAAATCCCCTCGAACCAGCCTTCGACCACGACTCAGCTGCTTGCTCCTCCGTCTCCGCTGTGCCAGCCAATGGCTGGCCACTCGTGTGGGCAAGGGACAGACAGGAGCCTTGTTCATTAACAAACCCTGTTCCTTTTTTATTGGAGATAAAAACAGTAAAGTCCCACACACCATGCCCTGTCCTGGGGGCGGGATGAGCTGCGGCCGCGGGCCCCGGCCCAGCTGCTCAGGCCTCGGGGGGCTGCACGGTGCAAAGTGCGGTCTCCGCGGGGAGCGCTCAGTGGCAGAGGGCCATGGTCTCCATGTTAAGGAAGCGGACGTGCATCTTGGTCTCGATGTCGATCCCCTGCCAGATCTGAAATGCACGGAGCGGCGTGAGGGCCTCACACCGACCCAGGCAAGTCCTGAACCATCCCCCCACCCCACCTCCCTCTGCCGGCCTCAGAGATGTGCCCGCAGGACAACCAGCTGAGCCACCACAGGGAGCTGCCGCTCTGTGCTGGGGAGCTTGCCTCTGGCATTCGTGTTCTCTGAGGTGTCGCCGCAGGTGGTGACTGAGTCCCGAACCCACACTCCCATCCTCCACCGCCTCAGGCTCCAAGTCCCCAGTAAAATGCGGAGACCACCCCCTGTCCCCCATAGCACAGAAGACTGGGGTGTGGGGTGTCGAGTCATCAGAAGCGTTTTATAAACTTTAGGGCTCTGCAGTTGTGAGGTTTCAGTAAGCCTTCATCATTCATTAAAAGGTGACAACAGTCTGGTCTTTATAACCGTCCATGTTCTACACAGACAAGCTCAAAGGAAACGTCATTTCCACCCAAAGACCAGGGCCGTGGCCACATACCTGGTGCTGGAGACGCCATCCCAGTGTGGGGTG